AATAAGAAACTGATTTATCAAGGCTATTTTGTAGATATTAGACCTTTTTTTTTTCAACCCAAGGGCTTGCAGAGTAAGCTAGGAGTCTACTCATCTCACTCCCACAGAATGAATCAAAACTGCAGTCCCCTCAGTTCAGACTTTTCAGAAGTGCTTAAAAGTGAAACATTCCAGGACAGACCCTCAGAAGTACTTTGGCACCCAAATCTGCCATTCAGCCACCACCTTCAAATTGCAGCTCAGTTGCTGCCTACACCTGTAAGTGCTTAAATGCGTCCTGGTGGACAGCACAAAGCCACCTAATTGTTGACCTTACCCCACAGCACAAGCCCCAGAAACCTTGAACAGGGATACTCATAATAGTCATTCCTCCTGCAATTCCTTAGGAGAACCCAGTGCAACCTGCACAGGCACATGTCCTAGCCCACAACAGTCTGCTACTTGGGGCACTCACATAAGAGGACTGCTCCAATGTAAACCAAAGCAGTGCAGCGTAGTGCAGGGATTTTCAAACCTCCTAAAGTCACAGCATCCTTTCCTGTCACTCCTCCTGCTGCAGAACCATTACCTCTGACTCTGTGAACTGCCACAGAGCCAGGTGGGCTGGCTTGGCAATGGCAGCACACCGCCATTACCCATCTTTTTGTGGAACCCCTGATGACTTATCACAGATCCCCAGGGCTCTGCAGAACAGCTTGAAAACCACTCACCTAATGGATGGGGCACAAGACACCAATATTTTCCTCCTGGTGCTGCCACCAGCTAGCATAGTGACCCCGAGCAAATCTTTTAACCTCCATGTCCCTTAGTCCACCCACAGCTTACACCATAGTTCACGACTCAAATGAAGCTACTTGCAGGTGTGCAACGCACATTTGACTGCTGCTTGTCAAAATGCCTTGCTCTCAGCAGCTGCAATTCTTTCAACTTTTTCATTTTGAAAATCTCCCCCTAAAATTAAACTTTGTCATTTTAAGAGCCCTTTAAGCATTTGATAAAATTAACAACCATCTTATTAAAACTATATAATCTCATTTAAAGCTTAGATGTTATGAAATCTTAGAAATACTGGATGTGGTTATAGTCCCAATGACTTTGGTGCACCCAGGATATAACCCCTCTAATGCTTTAGCTTCTGTTCACTGGGAAGCCAGTGCAAAGAACCCAAGACAAGGTTTCAGTCCTGACAGACAGAAAGCCCTTAATAGGATCAGCCCCAAGATCCTCTCTGCAACCACAACCTCCCACTCCCATTATGTTCCACTAGCATGCAGAAAGACCTGAAAAGCAAGAATGTGTCATTCTATTTTCAAATACTAGGTGGCACTGACACTACAGCCAGAGGCCCAGACAAAGTAGGTGCATCATGTCTGAAATGTACTGGGAGAGCCTCCGATTTATTTCCTTCTCCAGCTCCTGAGCACCTGTGATCCAGTGCAGGAATCTGGTCCCAAAAGACTTAAATGCTACAAGAGCTGGCCGTTTAGATTAACCTAAAACCAGGAGGGTTGGGATGTAGTCACCTACCATAAAACTGTTTAAGAACTGTGAAACGTTAGATTTTTCCAAAGTTGACAGAATTCCTTCAGTCACCTGCTTGTAGCAGTAAGGTAGGAAAACTGATAGATGCTTCCAAGGGGAAGGGAGTCTTGGTGTACTCCTGGGAAAGAAACACATATCACTCCTTTTCCACACAATACAACCCAACAGAAAGCAACCAAATTCCAACTAAAGCGATATATGAAAAGAAAAAATCCTATATTGAGTTATGGAAGATACTTAAAATCAGTGGATTCTTCAGACAGAACTGTTGGGGACATAAGCCACTTTTTCACAGATTTCAAGGGAAGCATAACTTTAAATATAAATTTTAAAATACTAAAATGAAATTCAGTAACTGAAACTGGGATGAGACCTGATGAAGAATATCTTGCATTCAAAAGATTGTCTAGCTCAATCCCAACTATACAGTTAGCACAATAGGATATATCCTAAGAAATCGTTGTCTCTCACATAATTTCTGGCCCATCGTGGCTACAACTTCACTCTTCCACTACAAAAGTCTTCTAATAAAGCCAAGTGTTATGCTACAAGAATCCTATCTTTGGTCTTAAACGGCTACTGTTTGTTAGATATTAATGTTAATATTCTAACTGAAGAATTCACCTTGTTTTATATGCCAGTTATGTATTATTAGTTTAACCAGTATGCAGTGAGCCCGGCTTAAATGCACAATCCCAGGACTGGAAAAAAACCTATGTACCCCAGAGTGTGCATTTACTAGCACTCAATGTAAGTGCTCATTAAGAATAGGAACAACCTGTGCTCTGGTTTCACACCTCATTAGTTACCTTTTCCTCACATGTCCTATGACTAACAGCAGCCTTGAAATGAAGACTTTTCAGGTATGGACATATATTTTAGGGCGTGCTGCAGCTTGTGCATCAGCTGTTACCTGTTAAGTCTGCAGGACCCTTAGCTATATCACCCTACCCTTTATTCTGAATGAAGCAGAATTAAAACTGGAGCAGATTTGCCACACTTGTAAGATTATAGATCATGCAAATGTAGTAGTGGCATCCCAATAGCTTTGACATTAAGATCATAGGAAAGTAGGGCTGGAAAGGAACTCAAGATCATCTAGTCCAGCCCCCTGGTCAAGGCAAAATTGTCCCCGACTGAACAGTCCCAGCCCATGTATCTGTCCAATCAGCTCTTGAAAATTTCCAAGGATGGAGATTCCAGTTTCTGCAGGCAGCCTGTTCCAATGCTTGACCACTCTCATAATCAGAAAATTCCTCCCCATCTCCAACCTGCAGTTCAAGTCCATCGCTCCTAGTCCTGTCCCCTACAGCCATAGGGAAAAGCCCATCTCCATTCCCTCTCTAATTGTCCTTCAGGTATTTGAAGACAGTTATCAAATCCCCCAACCCCCTTCAGTCTGCTCTTCTCGATTAAATAACCCTACCTCTTTCAGCCTTTCCTCGTAAGTCCCGCTTCCCAGGCCTCTAATCATTTTTGTCACTGCGCTGGACTCTCTCCAATCCATCCACATCCTTCTTGAAGTGTGGGGCCCAAAACTGGACCCAGTCTCCAGATGAGGCCTCACCACCACTGAACAGAGGGGAAGAATCAACTCCCTTTAATCTGCAAGTGACCCTCCTGTTGATACAAACCAAAATGCCATTGGCACTTTTGGCAACAAGAGCGTACTGTTGGCTCATTATTCAGCTCGTTACATCTGTCTATATCCTTAGTCATTTTTACCAATTAAGCAGTTGGAGAGAGTAAGATTACATTACAAAGTAGACATTAGGACTGAAGTTCATATGCACTTAAGTGGTTTATGCACTTAACCAACATGTTACAATGAAAGCAAAGGCAAAGAAATTGAGATAAACATCACGTTATAATGTATACAGGTAGAATTATTAACTTATCCAGTATGCCTATAAAGCAGCACACCAATTACAAGAAAGGCCTTTCGAGAAGCATCCTATATGTATGCAAACTGGTTCAATCACGTTATTATTTTTGTAGTATAACAGCTACACTGAACATGCTGCTGAGTAAAGAAAGCATTTTTGCCTCAAAGTATCAGCTGTACATACTTGAAAATAGTTTATTGATCCATTTTTCAAAAGTCCCAAAAGTTAAACATCATCTTCCTAACCACCACTTTGTATAGGAGCACATGAGATACTAGTCTATGTGGTTTCAGGGAAGGTCAGACAGAAAATTTGACACAGCTTCTTTGGCCTGAACTGTACTTTCAATTAGTAAATCAGCAGAAGGAAAGTCAGTTACTTCCATGGGGCCAACATTTCATACCTTTTTTAGACAAACTGGATCACGGACTGTGGGTAGTAAAACTTTTCCTCATTCATGATAAAAAGAATTTCCTTAACTTATTCTGCATCGATCAATCAATCAAACTTTTTGTTAAGTGATATATATGAATACCCAATTACCAAAAATGATGTCACAGACACACTACTCACAGAAAGTGGAAAGATGAAAGCAAGGGAGATAAGGTTGAAAGGTGAGTTCTGTCTTTGGTTATGACAGTTAATGTAAAAACATTCCCTAAAATTTAAAAACCTACTATCTCTTGGTAAAAATGGGACTATAAATGTAATAGGGAAATAGAGTTATATTTCAAAGCAAGTCCAGCTGTGGCTTTACATTGTAGATACAGTGAAGCTTTTGACATTTCATCACCAGTTTGGTAGAATTACCTTTGCAGAAAAAAGAAAGTGTGGGAAATAAGTCTATAAATGCTGTTACATTTCAGACTTGGTTGGGGCAAGGAAAAGAAGGGTCTTATAAATTTAAACTCTTCTCTTAGTCATAAGAGTTAAGTTATAAACATAGACAAGAACTTTGCCCCTTCTCCCAATGTTACGTTCATCGACTTTTAGATAATGGTTCTCTTTTTCTTTTTTGTTTTTAAGCACTCATTTAAAATCTGTAGATTCTAAAAATTACCTCAACACTTTCAGCAAAATAGTCTTTATTATATACAGTTCAATCTAGCTTGCTATTCTTTGGGCTCAATACTTATGTATTTTGTTGTAAACATTCCAATTTGTGAACCCTCACTCCAAACTGGTTATATCAATAACTGAATCTATAGGATTAATATACATAATAATAGTGCATCTTGCTCTCAGTCTATTGTTATATTTATAATCTAGTCACAGTACTGACCACTTTAACCAATCTAGCTAACAATGTGCTAGTTGGAGCTTACTCTTCTTAAAAGATTTCAGGAATGGATTTAAAAGTAATTTACGTTTGTGTAACCTTTACTCAAGAGAGCAGAGTTAAAGGGGGCAACTTCTACAACAGATGGCAATGAGAGAGATGGAATGTTATCAACGGCTTCTACAAGGGACAGAAGGAGAGAGGGGTGGAATTTACTAAATTTTGTCTGAGACTGTTTAACAGGAAGCCCTTCCTCCTTTTAATTGTTTTAATGAAGATAATGAAACAAAAACCTTTATATAAACAGTTTATTTACTCTAAACAGCAACACAGACAAAAACGCCATATAAACACAAAGGAAGTGATGCAGAATCAAGATGCTGGCTGACTTTGGATCTCAGAGGCTCTTAAGCAATAACAACCTAGTTTCTGAAAGATAGAAAAACAAATTAAGGGGAGGGAAGGGGGTGGAGGGCATGATTTTTTCATACAGCCAGCTAGAGGCTAAATATAGTTCTAAACATTTTAAAGCATGCCTGCATCAGATAGCAAAGTAACTAGAGATACTAGTGAATTTATAGAAGTATAAAAGTTTATAATTTTACAGCAGTTGAAATACTGACATCAATATTAAAATAAAAGCAAGTTTTACATAACAATCAAAAATACAAAAGACTGAAGGAAGAGACCCTGTATGAAAAAACTGGGGGCAATTCAGCGAATTTAGAACTGTATACAAGTGGCGAATATGGAAAATGGCACACATACAACCCCCTCCCCTAAGTGGATATTAATTGTACATAGCAACATTAGATTTTGCAAAAATTTTGTAAACAAGTTCTTGCCAAACCAATCCCTTCCTTTTTAAGATGCTGCATGACAGGTGCTTATGATGGCGCAAACTTCTTGGCTTGTGCTCGAACCCTCTTTTCATATTCCACTCTGTTTTGGCTGAAGAGTAAAACAAAAAAGAAAAGAAAAGAAAGAAATTACTTTTCAGGGGTTAAAACACAGATATCAGATAGAGCAGATGTCAATCTGCACAATGAGTTCTAGGAGTTCTTATGTATGAAACTAAATTTTTCTGAAGGCAGGAGGTTAGACAGAGATGTTTCC